TTTAATGTAGGTTTTTTGAGCAGTGGGGTTACCCGAGCCTGCTTGAATGCAGTGGGGAAGGTGCCTGTGAGGAGAGATGTGTTGGTGATGTGTGTGAGTGCTGGTAAGAGTGTAGGAGAGATTGCTTGGAGAAGGTGTGAGGGGATTGGATCTAGAGAGCATGTTGTAGGATGGCTGGAGAGAAGTTTTGATACTTCTGCCCCAGTGAGGGGACAGAAGGAGAAGATGGGAGTTTTAGTAGTGGATGTGGTTGGTTGGAGAACCTGTGTGTGTGGGGCTAGTTTTGTCTGTGAAGAATGTGGCAAAATCATCAGCTGTTATTGAAGTGGTGGTGGGTGGTGGTGGAGGGGGACAGAGGAGAAATTCATTTAGAATTTGAATAAAAGTTTTGATTTATGTGTTGCTAACAGGACGGCCACATACCCTGTACATGCAGCAAAGTTTCAGGAGTGACATATCCTGCATCCCTCATATTTCTGCGGGATTCACTTTCGAAATAGCTTGTTTGCTATCAGGGTTAGTTGCTTAGCCTATATCCACCACCTCGATGACAGGCAAGTATTTCAGTTTAGTTGAAAATTCACTCCTGTTCATAACATAAGGCTCACATCCAACATATGTCGTGATTTTCTTTTTATACATTTCTCTAATAGTGTCTAAACTAATGTTAATTTTGTCAGCTATTTTCATTTTAGTCTTAGTCCCGTGTTAAAATGTCTTTGTTAGTTTTTATCATATTTAGTCAACCTTATCCTATTTAGTTTTAGTCAACTAAGTCTCAACATTTTAGTCTAGTTTAAGTGAAAGAAAACCTGAAGTATTTGTCTAGTTTTAGTCAATGAAAACTTGACATTTTAGCAATAAGATTATTAATTAACCGTAGAGTATTAATTTTGGCAGCCATTTTTTATTTAGTCTTAGTCTTACTCAAATGTACATTTTAGTTATCATATTTAGACAACCTTGTCCTGTTTTTGTTTAGTCAAGTTTAAGTCAATGAAATGTATGAGCATTTTAGTCAACTTTTAATCAATTAAATCTTAGTCACATTTTCGTCATTCTGTATAATGGTTAAACTGATAAAAAATAGTTTGCTCAAAATTATAATCGTAATGATTGCTGTCATTTGAGAAATTTACTTTTGCATTTCAGGTTTTGCACTTTCACCAGTAAGCACAGTCTGTGCAAGAAACTGAACAGTATTCATATAATTTTTTACCTCTGATCCACCGCAATGTCCAACTGGCCTGAGCGCGTTCACAACATCCGACGCGTGTACGTGCTCTGGCATAGTAGACGCATGAGCGGAAGCGATCTGTCGCACGTATACGTCACTCATTGGATGTTGTGAACTCACTCAGGACAGTTGGACATTGCGGTGGATCAGAGGTAAAAAATTATATAAATATTGTTCAGTTTCTTGCACAGACCGATCGTTTCGTGTCTTAAGACCTCAATGTATCGTCACGAGCCACAGGGTTTAATTTGGTTTTATCTGTATATGTTTTTTTTACTCTCAAAGCCGTGGTGCCCATTGACTGCAATTATTTGACTGACAGACTGCAACGGTTTGAGTTAAAAATCTTCGTTTGTGTTCTACTGAAGAAACAAAGTCACCTACATCTTGGATGCCCTGGGGGTAAGAAGATAAACATAAAATTTTTATTTTTCGGTGAACTATCCTTTAAGCTTGACTCTTCTGGAGCCCGTTATTGCTACATTGAAATAAAAATGTAAAGCCTGTACAAAAATTAGAAATCGTGAATACAAATAGGCTAATTGGGAATCATGTAAAAAAATCTAATAAAATAAAAGCACATTTCATTTATCTATTATAACATTTATGTAGTTTTGTTCGCTTGGCTGTTTCCTTATAAAAGTCCAGAAATTTGTCAAGTTTTTCGTCAGGTGTCTTTTTTGATTATATGATGTCATTACATTGCTGTCTTGCCGCCAGCCAATCGCTGCATTGCTGATCGTGGTTTCGAGTATCGATACATCTGCTCTTTTAAACCAACCCATGAACGTGCAATTATCTCAGATAACTCAATCCAGCCATACTAATCATCAACAACAGGTGCGTTCGAAGAACTGAATTTGCCAGATCCTGATTAGCGCGATGATATCATCTTGGATGTGTCATTTGATCTCGGATGTAATAAGCGACGTATGAAGAACGGGCCCCTGTTCACTACACTTCTAAATAAAAAAATAAATACATCAATGTAACTGCGCAATGGAAAGAAAACTCTGATACTCCGAATACAGACATATGAATCATTTTAAATTTCAGTTCTAAAGAAAAACTAGTTCAAATTAATATATGAGCGTGAATATAAATACTAAGAAATTTCATCAAGCCTATATGGTGTGATATTATATATTGTGCATCAATGTCTTTTGTTTCACATTGAGATCTTTCCATGGCACCTCACAACACTGATGAGGTGGCAGAATTAAATTAAACCCTTGTCTCACTGTCTCCTCATCATCCATCCACCTCACTATCCGAGGGCATAATTAATTTTATCATCAGCACCATTATTATTGTTAAATAGTTTTTCATATTTTGTCTTTTTTTCTGTTACCGTGCCTGTCATGAATATCAAGTATATGCAAATAAGCTGGAGGTACACATCCTGAGGATGCAAGAGACAGGGAGGGAGGGAGGAGAGTGAGAGACTCAACGAAAAAACAAGGCTATTTAGAAAAGACTGTGTGTGTTGGTGGTGGGGGTCTTGCATTATGCATTCCACTGGCATTTTTGTAACCCAATTAATCAAGCAGGAGAGAGGAGAGATGTAAAAAGGATGAGATCGCCCTTCACATTGATGAGCCCGGGCCAGGGCCAAATGCTGTACCACCTGAGTACCTGGCAGCCATATTGATGAGAGAGACTGATGCCTGTACTGTTCTCCTTTTGTTACTTTCTCTATCTATCTCTCTCTACTTCAAGTCTTTCATGCACATATAGACATCTTCACTCTTCAGATTATGCCCGCATATCCTCTAACCATGCCTACACATGATTTCCATGATTATTATAGTTCACAATGCACTGTTTGGCAACACTAACTACAATAAGGAATCATTTGTTAACATTAGTTATTGCATTAGCTAACACAGACCAACAATGAGCCATATATTTTTACAGAATGTATTAACCTTTGTTAATGTTAGAGAATAAAAACACAATTGTTCATTGTTTGTTGTAGTTATGTGGCTTCTGTCTTATACCACAGCAGGATAACCAAAGTCATGAGATGTTGATATCTGGTTGAATATAGGTTGGAACATTCACAGTTCAAATGCCAGGACAATGTTTAATGGCAATGTCAGTTTGTCATAGAATTCTGACAAAAAATATTTTGTTGGTTTTATTTTGTATTTTGACAGCCTGGTCCCAATGTTCATGTACATTTTTATCGATGCTGAAACATACAATTTGGACGAATTACAACATTTAAAAAGAAAAAAATTGCTACGTATTTTTAGCTAAAAAACGTAAAATATTTACCAATCTTTTATATCATTAAGATATTTGTATCAGTACATTTTTTGAATTTTATCGATAAGCGATTCAGATTTTTAGACCCCTTAACCTACCCCTAACTCTAAACCTACCCGTTTTATAGCGAATATAAAAACATAAAATGTAATAGACCGAAATATGCAGGGAAATGACCATTTTAGTAACAATATAGCATTAAAAATATATGTTTATAGTCGTTAATCCCTCTTAACCTAACCATAACTATTTCTTAAAAATATGTACAGTATAAAGAAAAATGATGACAGGCAAGTGCAATAACAATAATTTATGTATTGCAGAAATATCAAAAGCAGTACCAAAAGTAGTCCAAATAACGATGTGTTGCAGTCGCAGTCCTCTCTGGTGGAATACATATGTCAGTATTGTACATTTTAGTGTCTGTGCAAATGTAAGTAAATGTACATTTTGTAGAACCACATTTTACATAAAATACATACGAATTCTCATGAGATCACGCTGATTTTTAGGGAACCAAAATCCAACATCTCATGCCAAATCATATTGACATCAAACAGACAATTAGTTAAGTTAGACATTTAGTGAAGTGAAGGTAACCAAAAACCAACATCTGCTAAATGTCATAATGTTCATTTTAACAAATGTGAAATAATATCATTAGACATCAGAAGTGCCGTAAAAAGTGAAGGTATATGCTGTAGCAAATTAGTTCAAAAGGGAAATGTATATAAATAATTACTATTAATAATACAATTAAAATTACAATGCAGAATTAGTATTACAATCAACAAATCTGTCAACAAACAACTAATCAACTAATTTCAGCAAACATTCAGTGTAATTTCATATCAACTACAAGAAATTACATTTTTGTGGCCATAATAAAAAAAAATAACTTAAAATAAAAATAACTTTATTACAGCACTAATGCGTTAGAGCATGTAACAAGATCGGCTTATTAAATTGGCCAGTCACCATAGTCCAATGTTTACTAGGAGCTAGAGCACCTGACATCTTGGCAAATTTGGGTTCCGGTTACAATGCCTCCGCAGCAGGGCAACTGGGTGACTGTGAGACGGCCTAGTCGCAGGTCAAAACACCGCTTTTCCGTTCCGATCAAAACATTAAACAGGTTTTCGCCACTCAGTGGCCCACTTAGAAACCTGATGAAAATTCCCTAGTTATTGGTGATTCTATTGTATGGAACATGAAAATAGAGACATCTGCCACCATTGTCCAATGTTTACCAGGAGCCAGGGTGTCTGACATCTTGGCAAATTTAAAAGTGCTGGCTAATGCTAAACGTAAATTCAGTAAGATTGTTATTCACGTCGGCACTAATGACGCACTAACCCTAACTTCACCAGTCGGAGATCACTAAAAATAACATTAAAGAGGTGTGTGAACTTGCAAGTATGATGTCAGACACTGTAATATGCTCTGGTCCCCTCCCTGCTTACCGTGGTGATGAGATACATAGCAGACTGGCGTCACTCAATGGCTGGAAGTAGTGCCCTCATAATAACATAGGTTTCATAGACAATTGGACAAGTTTTTTGGGGCAGACCTGACCTGTTCAAAAAAGATGGTCTTCAACCCTCCAGGAGTGGTGCTGCTCTTCACTCTAGAAATATGACTCATAGTCTTAGAGTTTGTGCTTGACTAACTGGGGCCCAAGTCAGGTCAGGACCTACTCATTGTCATAATAATACTTTAGATTTAATACTATCACATGGAATTTATGTTAATGACATTGAAATTCTTCAGCAGAGTGATGATATCTCAGATCATTATTTAGTCTTGTGTATACTCCATATAGCTAAAGCTGCAAATTCAACTACAAATATGGTAGAACCATCACTTCTACAACAAAAGACTGCTTTGTAAATAATCTTCCCTATTTGTCTCAATTTCTCAGCATATCCAATAGGTCAGAAAAACTTGATGGTGTAACAGAGACCATTGACTCTCTCTTTTCTAGCACTTTAAATACGGTTGCTCCTTTACGCTTAAAGAAGATTAAGGAAAACAATCCGTCACCTTGGTATAACGAGCACGCTCATGCCTTAAAGAGAGCAGCCCAGAGAATGGAGCGCAGCTGGAAGAAAACAAAATTAGAGGTATTTCGTATTGCATGGTGGTAAAGTACTTCTTCCTACAGAAAAGCTCTAAAACCTGCTAGATCTACTTACTTTTCATCTCTCTTAGAAGAAAACAAACACAACCCCAGGCATTTACTCAATACAGTGGCTAAATTAACAAAAAATAAAGCATCAACAGAAGCAGACATTTCCAAATAGCACAGCAGTAATGACTTTATGAACTTCTTTACTTCCAACATCGATACTATTAGAAATAAAATTCTAACCATGCAGCCGTCAGCCACAGTATCGCATTAGTGCACTATAAATTCCCTGAGGAACAATTCCACTCATTCTCTGCTATAGGACAGGTAGAATTGTATAAACTTGTCAAATCATCAAAACTTACAACATATATGTTAGACCCTATTCCATTAAAGCTACTAAAATACTTCTGCAAATGGATTCTAACGCTGCCTCAGCCTCACTGTTACAGCTGCATTTATTTGATCAAGAATACAGAATAAACAGTAATTTTGTGAAATATTATTACAATTTAAAATAACTGCTCTATATTTTAATTTACTTAAAAAAATTATTTATTTCTTTAATGCAAAGCTTTTCATCAGCTTTTATCTGCCATTATTCCAGTCTTCAGTGTCACATGATCCTTCAGAAACCCTTTTGATTTATTATCAGTGTTGGAAACAGTTGTGCTGCTTAATATTTGTTGGAACCTTTTTTAGGTAAAAGTTAAAAAGAATAGCATTTATTCAAAACATACATTTTTGTCTGACAATTTGTCTTTACTATCCATTTTTCAATTTATCACATCCTTGCTGAATAAAAGTATTAATTTCTTTTAAAAAATGAAATAAAGAAAGAAATTTACTGGCCTCAAACATTTGAACTGAAGTGTATATTTTTACAAAAAAAAAAATATTTTAAACGAATACTTAAAAAAAAAAAATTATTCATCAAAGAATCATGAAAAAAGTACCACAGTTTCAAAAAAAAAAAAAAAAATGTAACACAACTGTTTCCAACATTGATAATAAATCAGCATATTAGAATAATTTCTGAAGGATCATGTGACACCGAAGACTGGAGTAATGGCTGATGAAACTTCAGCTTTGCATCACAGGAATAAATATAATTATAAATAATTATTTTAAAGTATATTACAGTAGAAACCCGTTATTTTAAATTTGTTCAAATCGGTTGAATGAATGACTGAATGAGTCGGTGACTTGCTGGCTTGACTTGGTGACTTGGTTTTAGTTTCATATTAAGAGTATCATTTCATTTAATATATATATACATGGTGTGTCATTACATTTGGGGGGTCATTTCCCAGCCAAAACTTAATTCCGATTAATTAGATATTAGTCATGTAGTTGACTAGGTTAATCAGTCATGTAGTTCATTAGTATTAAAAAAATAATAATAATATATATATATATATATATATATATAACCCAAACATTAAGACAATAAAGTCAGTCTCAACAAACTTCCACAGTAAGGAAAGCTTAATTATATGTATATTGACACTCAAGTCCTCCAAAATTCAAGCCACTGGCACTTAGCCAAGATCGAGAAAATTGACCTACAAAGAGAGAACAGTTGAGAAAAACTCGACTGTCCTCACTGACTTCATTTGGTTTGCTTCATTGAGAATAGGGCCCTATAGATCCCTTGGCTGGAGTGCTCTAAGTGAAGTCTATAAATATTGACCGACCATTTCCTTGGCACAACTGTAAGGAAGCGTGTTATCAAACAACTACATCGTGGAGGAGCTTTGCAGAACCACCTCAACTGCACTAATTTTGAGGTCTGGAACCTGTTAACCTGCAAGAGGACGTTGGCATCCCAAAGCTTTCTTTGTTTACATTAGTTCAAAGTTACTAGTTAAAAAGTAAAACTACATAATTAACTTGACAAATACATAATTAAAAAGGTCTCAGGCTTCCATTTTTGACCTCTGTTTTACTATAAAATATTTAAGTGACAGCAATGTCTTAATTTGTGGCAGGAGTTATTGCTAAATCAAAAAAATCTCAATTGATGTCAATTTCATAAACTGTACCTTTAATATGAAATGTGAACTTTAGATACATCAATTGAGAAATATTCCTGTATACAGTCTTAATGAAAGTGCTTCACTAAACAACGTTCCACAGGGCTTTTAGTCCAAATGTGTGCATATTAGGAGAAAACTTTACGTATTCTCATATGTTTACTTTACTTTCTTAGAGAGGAGTATTATAGCATATATATATTAGTATATATAGTATATATATGAGGCGCTTCAGAAATCTAGAAAAGCTTCAGGCCCAGATGGTGTTTCACCTGCCTGTTTAAAAGTCTGCGCTGACCAACTGGCCCCCATCTTCACACAGATCTTCAACAGATCATTGGAGCTGTGTGAAGTTCCCTGCTGCTTCAAACGCTCCACCATCATTCCGGTCCCCAAAAAGCCCAAAATCACTGGACTTAACGACTACAGACCTGTCGCTCTCACATCTGTGGTCATGAAGTCACTTGAGAGACTGGTCCTGGCCTACCTGAAGGACATCACTAGACCATATATATATTAGTGCTGGGCAACGATAAAAAAAATTAATCGCGATTAATCACATTATTTTCAATAATGAATTCAAAAGTAATGTATTGTGCACTTTTTTCATTTAAAACTACTGCTATGTGAACAAAAGTGCAATAACATTTGGTTTGCAAACACAACAAATGAGGCGCTTTTTTTATAGCAGTATTCCTTTTACATAGTAGCAGTTAAAACATTTATTGTAAATCTCAACTTATAACATTAATGTAATCAAATTAAATATAAAACCAAAGCTATTTGTCACTGCGAGGGCAATAACGTTTTTATAAAAAATATTTTATAGTTTGTTATAGAAAAACAAGTTATGCTCAGAGTCCAGAGCCTCGATCATAACATTATAACAGGCACCTTCCGAGTAGAGACCTGCACTATCGCGGGACAACACTTGATGGGCGAGTGCGGGTGTGGGCGGGTAGAGACTCATGTGTGCGGGAGAATAAGTACTCACACTAGGCAATCTTAACCGTGCCCGAGCGTGTTTGACCCCCAAAGCCGGGTTCGTTTGACTAGTGTGATCGCTCGCACGGTTCGTTTAGCCGGCCCTGGCTCGGTTCGAAGAGGTGGGCCAGAGCGCGGTTCAGTTGGGCTCGGGCGCGGTGCACATGTAGTGTCGGAGCGCTGAACTTCTGATACGTGCAGCAAGATTGCGTGAACATTTCTGAGCAGCAAAAGCTATATTCATAATATATAAGTAATTCATAGCCTAATGCAACAATTATATTACATACGTAAATTGTCAAAACTTTATAATTATGACATTACATATTTTAAGTTTCATGTAACAGCCAGTATTTGCATCTGTATTTGTATCTGTAACAATCACAAAATTATTCTTATCTGTATTCGGATAAAACCAGGTGGAACTTCATACAGTTACTTGATAAGACCGTTATGACTATCTTTTTTTATCTCTGAACAAATATGCTGTGTTAAACAAAAATAATTATTAATTTGTAAAAATAAATTTATCATACAAGCAGAGAGATGTCATGACAAACGTATAGTGATCATTTGAACACGACTGAATTAATTCAAGGCGCACATTTTCATTACGCAGAATTCTGTAAAGTGAGTTTTTTTTTTACTTCACTAAACAAATGTGGGTCTCATCTTAGATGATTATTAGCCTACTATTAAGAGAGAGCTCGTTTGGTTTTTGAGAGACTGAGATGCGCAACGCGGCTGTTTGATTGGTGAGTGCGCTGTGTTTATTCCATTCATTCGTGTATCATATCGTAGCCTAAGGTTTAAATTATTGCCTTTTAAATATACACAAATAATAGAATGTGTATGATGTATTATATTAGTTGATATTACTCTTGCCAAGCTCTGATTTCTGAGAGATGCACGGAGAGGCAACAGCAATGCAATGTTTGATATGCGCTCTTTTCATTCATAAAGTTTACATTCATTCACTTCACACACTCATTATTGAGATACTTTAGAGGTCTGTGTGTATAATATTGCGCTGATCCCCTGGCTCAACTGTTATCTAGCAAACACCAGACTGTGCCAGCCTCAGCCGAATATTCAGGCAGAATTATTCCTTGTCCGTTATTCCGTTTTTGAAGCCATTATCCGTGCCATTCCGAATAAGGTATTCGGCTTCGGGCA